CATTTAACCTAATGGCTCTGTTCTTCCATGGGGTCCACGCCCTGTATACGCGCAGCGCGCTAGCAACACGCTATGTATTCGGTGTCAGCTCGCTAGCTTCTCCCAAATCCTGACAAAAATCGGGCTAACGACTTTTTTTCCGATTTTCAATGCGCCGACCGTGCGTCGTCTGTGTGACCGGGCCATGATGCCCGGTCATGATTTGGGAGAAGCTAGTGAGCTGACACCGAATGGCGTCCTTTTGGCGTGTACATTCATGCGTCAAACTTCTCGCACAATCTTGAGCATGCTAAAAAAATCCCGACGCACACATCACATGACGACGAATGCATAGCGTTGGTCCGGCGTTGGTCCATTGCGCTCGACGAACGAGTAACGTATGATGACGCACACCTAGCAAACGACCACGCACTGGCCAAAATTACAAATTTCTAATGCGCTGGTTGTGCGTCCCCCATGCGTCCCCTATGTGTGACCGGGGGGGGGGGGGTTCTAAAAGCTGTTCGTAAAGTTACGCAACTTTACGAATGACTTAAATATGAAAAGCCAAATGGGATGATTAATCATTTTTAACTGCATCGACTAAAGTTGAACTGTGCAGATGTAGAGTAACATTCTTATTATAACAAACATTTTGATGCAAAGTATATTTTTTGCCCTAATTTATGCCTGGATTACATTTTGTCCCGGGCGCCGTACGATAAATTAGTCTACGATTTGTCGTAGACATCGTAGGAGGCTACGATGTTTGTGTTTACATTTATTGGATTGGCCCTCGGGGGCAGGCCGGGGCAAATCGTTACAGAGACTGCTCGGAGATTGTACGGAAATCTTGCAATTTGAATGCAGTAGCCGTGCAGTCTCCGCAGCCTCCGCATGGACATCGTACGAAGCCCGTACAGCTTCTGTGCAAAGGTTGCGAGGAGAAGGCGCGGTGACCGTAAAGCCGCCGTACCCTCGAAAAATCGTACGTTTGCTGCACAATCAGTGCGAGGCCTCCGGGCAATGCCCGTGCGGGGATTGTGCAATGCCACCTACGACATGCATAACTTCTCGCGAAACAAAATCGTAAAGGCTGCGGAGCCCGTGAATCCGTACGAAAATCTCACGGCCGCCTCCTGCCTCCGCACAGAGGCCGCACGGAAAAGGGGATACGGGCAGGATACGGGGTCTGTAGACTAATCGCAGGCCAAATGTAATCCACATAAATTGAGGTTATTGAAAATATAGTCACACTTTGTTAAAACATCAGGAAAAACTTTGGGCATCCTATCTGGCACTTCATATTCAAGTCGTTCATAAAGTCATGCGTAACTTTACGAACAGCTTTATGAAATACCCCCCTCCCACCCCCCCCCCCCCGGTTCTTCACGACTTTTTCCGATTTTCAATGCGTCGGCCGTGCGGCGTCTATGTGTGACCGGGCCTTTACAGCAGTTGGCTTGACAGAGCTGCCTTCAAATTTGTTTTCATCATAGTACCCGATTTGCTTAATTGTAAGAATTGTTGTGTGGACTTCACCATACATGTTAACAATCTAAAATCATCATCATTCACGTGAAATAGACCTCTAAATATTAATCCAAATGTTTGTATAATTAAGTAAAGAAGCGGATGCTACGCCATCTTGCTTCCAGGATGACAATAAATTGGCATATTCTTGTGCAGTTTCAGATTTTGGGGTATTGTATTTTTTTACGAGTTTTGATGGTACGTAGCCACTGACATATCTTAGGACTTTTTTTTTTAAAATCATGGTTCGTTAGGTTTACTTGTGGGGTAGCTTTGTCCCCTATACCTTCTTCCTCTAGTTCCTATTTCAAAATCAATAATACAATTCTGAGAATGTGTTGTTGTAACAAATGTTTAATATTTATACATCTAACATTACAATGTGCAAGGAAATTGTCCCACTTAAGCTATGGTCACAGCCCCAAATTAAGGTCAAAAATCGAAGCCGCAAGGTCGATTTTTGACCTAAATCGCTCGACGGCGAACGCTCGATTAGGTCGGTGCTATGGCGGCCAGCGCTCGGCCGATCTGATGCACCGCCGATCACCGGCTGGTCGCCGGGCAATATCTTGTAAATCAGCCGGTGCCGGTGGGAGACCGCACGGTGATCGGTGGGTCATCAGTGGGTCACTGCCAGGACGCCGCGCGGAAAAGCTTCCCGATTTCGCCCAGTTTTTACCTAAAATCGACCGGCGACCAACGGTAAATCGACAGGGCACCACCCAGGCATCGCTGGGCCTCTACAGCCTGCTCGACTTTTCAGAAAATCGTTGGGCGATGCCTAAATTCCAGCGGCGACCGAGCAGGCTACGAATCGGTCGGTCGTCGCTCTGAGTTGCGACCATACCTTTACTAGATACATTTTTACTAATTCACTAGAACACCTCAACATCTCGTGCACACTCGATGGTCCTACTGGCAACCTATTACCTGCCGTGACAACGTCCCATAACTTGGAGATTAGTTCTTACAAAAGTTTCAAACAAAGGTAGAGTAAAATGTTTCGTTATAGAATTTCGGAATTTGATGACTGAAATATTTCCTGGCCATAGCCATGCTATGTCTAGAAATTCTTACATATGGTTCTCCATATCTGCAATGATTTCTAGAACCCGATGTACCTTCCCTTCCATGACTGCTTCTTTTGCAATAGATGATGCTGGTCTGCCAAAGAAGAAAGGAATAAAAGAAAAAGTCAAAACCCAAAATGCCCCATCAAAATCACAAGTTTACATACATTATCAAGCCTGTTATTGGTTCTTTGAGCTACTTCTTAGCATAACTGTACGTTTGGAATTTACATACATCCTGTACTCAATATACTTCATGAAGACTGAACACGATCATAATGAAAATTGAGAAATGACTTCGATTTAGTAAAACAAAGTTGAAACTTTACAAGAAAAATATGATGTTAACATTAACATTGTTATTTCAAATGATGTTAAAATTGCCCAGACTTTGAAAATAAAGGGAATAATATATGTTAACTTTAAATTGAATACGAGCTGCCCTATATAATAACTGTTAGAATCGTTTTCATCTTGAAATCAATTTACCTTTATTCCATTTTTTCTCGTTGATGGTTTATCGTTGGTTGCGGAGGTTTCCGAAGGCTTGCCAGACTTCATCAAAGGTTCTAACGGCCCCGTGCCAATACGGGGTGACAGTGATTAATGACGGAGTGAGGTTCTGCACCTGTCGCGGTTTCCTCCCTAGCGCGAAATTCGGTCAAGGCGAAGGATTGTCGGCGGGCACAATAATTCAAAGGGTTTATTTTGTTCAATGTCAATTTGTGGTATGGTCAATGAGTTCAGCTGGTTCCCGTTTGTTAAATAGTTAGAAAATCAACCAAATATTTAGGCAAATGTACCCTTCTGCCAGGGCAGGTTCGAGTTTAAGGTTCCTGGGGCAGGATGAACCTTTGTGGCGTCGATGGATCGATCGTCGATGGGCGAGGCGTTGGCGGATGAAGTCGACACTGAAGTCGATATCGATGCCGTCGGGGTTGTGCGGGGTCGTGTATTTAGCGGGGTCGAAATAAGCTACTTTCAAGCAAACGATACTGATAGTGTCGATCCGGCCTTTGATGTCGAGCGTAAAGTTTTTATCCGACCTAGCGATGAACGCAAACGGTACCCCCATGAGGCAGTTCAAGCAGGCGGCGGACCGCATCACGACGAACCAAATCATGGGTACAAGACACGAGGTCGGGCGGGATGCGAGAAGTTGAATGTCGCGGTCATGGTTAGGCGAATGGTCGATGTCTGCTTTTAATTGTTGTGCGTATAGAAGGTAGAACCATGGGCAGCGTTTCAGTCCAGTTAGCGTGGTCGCGTGCCATGAGGGATGCCTTCAGCTGGCGATGAAAACGCTCGACAAGACCGTTAGCACGAGGATGGTACGCGGTCGTTCTGATGTGTTTCGTGCCGTAGACTAGTTGGGCGGGCGAATGGTCGATGTCTGATTTAATTGTTGTGCGTATAGAAAGTAGAACCATTGGGCACCGTTTCAGTCCAGTAGGCGTGGTCGCGTTCCATGAGCGATGCCTTGAGCTGGTGATGAAAACGCTCGACAAAACCGTTACCACACGGATGGTACGCAGTCGTTCTGATGTGTTTCGTGCCGTAGACTAGTTGGGCGGGCGAATGGTTGATGTCTGCTTTAATTATTTTGCGTACAGAAAGTAGAACCATGGGCAGCGTTTCAGTCTAGTAAGCGTATTCACGTTCTATGAGGGATGCCGTCAGCTGGTGATGAAAACGCTCGACAGGACCATTAGCACTCGGATGGTACGCAGTCGTTCTGATGTGTTTCGTGCCGTAGACTAGTTGGGCGGGCGAATGGTCGATGTCTGATTTAATTGTTGTGCGTATAGAAAGTAGAACCATTGGGCACCGTTTCAGTCCAGTAGGCGTGGTCACGTTCCATGAGCGATGCCTTGAGCTGGCGATGAAAACGCTCGACAAGATCGTTAGCACGAGGATGGTACGCGGTCGTTCTGATGTGTTTCGTGCCGTAGACAAGTTGGGCGGGCAAATGGTCGATGTCTGATTTAATTGTTGTGCGTATAGAAAGTAGAACCATGGGCAGCGTTTCAGTCCAGTAGGCGTGGTCGAGCTCAAAGAGGTATGCCGTCAGCTGGTAATGAAAACGCTCGACAAGACCATTAGCACTCGGATGGTACGCAGTCGTTCTGATGTGTTTCGTGCCGTAGACAAGTTGGGCGGGCAAATGGTCGATGTCTGATTTAATTGTTGTGCGTATAGAAGGTAGAACCATGGGCAGCATTTCAGTCCAGTTAGCGTGGTCGCGTGCCATGAGGGATGCCTTCAGCTGGCGATGAAAACGCTCGACAAGACCGTTAGCACGAGGATGGTACGCGGTCGTTCTGATGTGTTTCGTGCCGTAGACTAGTTGGGCGGGCGAATGGTCGATGTCTGATTTAATTGTTGTGCGTATAGAAAGTAGAGCCATTGAGCACCGTTTCAGTCCAGTAGGCGTGGTCTCGTTTCATGAGCGATGCCTTGAGCTGGCGATGAAAACGCTCGACAAGACCGTTTGCTCGAGGATGGTACGCGGTCGTTCTGATGTGTTTCGTGCCGTAGACTAGTTGGTCGGGCGAATGGTCGATGTCTGCTTTTAATTGTTGTGCGTATAGAAAGTAGAACCATGTGCAGCGTTCCAGTCCAGTAAGCGTGGTCGCGCTCAAAGAGGTATGCCGTCAGCTGGTAATGATATCGCTCGACAAGACCATTAGCACTCGGATGGTACGCAGTCGTTCTGATGTGTTTCGTGCCAAGGAGCCGAGTGAGCGCGGTGAACAGAGCGGATTTGAACTGCCTACTCCGATCAGTCGTCACCATTGCCGGCGTTCCAAAGTTCAATGTCTAGCTCGTAACGGCAGCCTTGGCGACGGTGTCGGCGTTTATGTTAGAGATAGGAACGGCCATGGGCAATCGCTTTAATCGATCGACTTATGTAAGGAACCGCTCGATGTCGGAGGTGTATTGGGGGTTATTAGAAAATCGGCTCCTATAATGGGGAAAGGGACGTCGGCGATGATGAACACCCATGGAGAAGAACCCCGCAGTCATGTTGAGCTTTAGTCTGTGCGGATGGGGATCGAATGAAGAAACAAAGGGACGGTGAGTTGGACGTTGAGTGGTGACGTCCACGTGAAAGCGGTGGTAAAAACTGATGTGTTGGCGCCTGTGTCGACCAGGATATTGCGTCGTGTGTCTCGGTCGGTCAGATGAGGAGGCGACGAGTTGTCTCTTCCCCCAGCGCTCTGTGTTGCTCCTATTTGCTGGCAGCGCCTTTTCCATGGCTGTTTGATGGGGCATAGCTGTCGCGAGTACGAGGAGTGCGTGGCTCTTGGCATCGATAGACGTCTGCCCCGTATGTAGTATGGTACCAACACTCCCTAGAGTTTTCGTTTGTCGGTGCAGGACTGCCATTGCGTCTGGTGTCTGGTGTCTGGATGATAACACTGCAACGAAATAGAACGCATGTGAAAAGCCAACCTCTCGACCTCCCCCGCGTAAGAGCGACACCTCGTTCGTTGTGGTTGCCGTGGTTGGGGCGGTGAGATGGTGAAGACTGTATGCGGCATGGCCACGTCTATTATTCTGTCGGCGATCTCGGCTTTCGTATCTGTCTCGATGCAATCGCTAGATAAGGCGAGAGTACGTTGCACGTTAGAAGGAGAAGGCAGTCGTTTGGAGGAAACTTTGTTCTATAATCGAGTTCTGCAACACGCGTTCACTCAGTACCTGACTCATTCGTCGTAAAAATTGGCTCGGATTTCGACTCCCCCCCCCCCCTAGTTCCTCATCCGTGATTAGCTGCTGCAATCCCTTTTGTTCCTACGCCGTCATCTGTGAAGTGAGCGTGGCCTTAAATGTAGTGAATGGGGTTTCTTTAGGATCATTGATCATAACATCGTGCACCTCTTGTGCGATTTCGGGTAGCGAGGAGGCGATCACATAACGGTGCATATAGTTTGTTAGTTCGTGATCACCCTCGTCACGAATTGGGCTTCGACCTGTCCGAACCAGACGTGTGGTTCGACTGGCCAATACCGGATACAGTGACATGTTCGTTTCTTTGTCTGGGGTTAACAATCGAACAGCCTGCCTAGGCAGTGCTGCTGTTTTGTCCGCCGTACAAGTGACCTCTAATTCGATGCGCAACGAATCTGCCTTCCGGTGTGGACCCCCTCGCTTCGTCGATTTCAATTTGATCCCGTGTATTATGAGACTCTTACGTCTCCATCGATTCATCTACCTGCATGATGAGGTTCAACGGAATTGATCTTTGGTAGTCCGGCTGGTGCTGGTGTGTATTGTCTGGGATTGACAATCGAATAGCAAATCTAGGCACCGCAGCTGCCTGTTCCGACGTACAAACGACCTCTAAATCGATGTGCAAGGGTTCTGCCGCTTGGTGAGGACTATTCGCCCCGTCGATTTCCATATTTTTCTCTGTATCATGAGACACTTCCGTCTCCATCGGTTCATCTATCTGCATGCTGAGATTCAACGTAATTGATCAGGCAATAAGAAGCACGTACAAATCAAACCACCGATGGCCACCAAATGAGCCGACTTGCCCTCTCTTAGTCCTACCCAAAGCTAATAGGCAGTGGGCGTGTCTTGAGATGGGGCTTGTTCTTAATATCTGCACCTTGTGCAAACTTTCGGGTGCTAGCGCATTCAGGGAGTACTTACAAACATCATTATTGCGAAACAGCGCTAAAATCCCCGTCGGAATTCCCCGATCCACCTAAAGAGGCAAACATTAAATCTAATAGGCAGTGGGCGTGTCTTGAGATGGGGCTTGTTCTTAATATATGCACCTTGTGCAAACTTTCGGGTGCTAGCGCATTCATGAAGTACAAACAAATATTATTATTGCGACACAGCGATAAAATCCCCGTCGGAATTCCCCGATCCACTCAAAAAGGAGGCGTTTAAGCTAATATGCAGTGGGCGTGTCTTGAGATGGGGCGTGTATTTAATAACTGCACCGTGTGCAAAATGCCGGTTGCAAACGGATTCATGAAGTACAAACAAATATTATTATTGCGACACAGCTATAAAATACCCGTCGGAATTCCCCGACCCACTCAAAAAGGAAGCGTTTAAACTAATCGGCATGGGATGTGTCTCGAGATGGGGCGTGTTCTTAATAACTGTATCGTGAGCAAAATTCCGGGCGCAAGCCGATTCAGGAAGTACAAACAAATATTATTATTGAAAAACAGCGCCAAAATCTCAGCCGGAATGCCTCAACCCACTCAAAAAGGAGGCGTTTAAGCTAATAGGCAGTAGGCGTGTCTTGAGATGAGGCATTTTTTTAATAACTGCACCGTGTGCAAACTGCCGGGTGCAAACGGATTCAGGAATCTGTTAATCTGTTAGGCTGGGAGTTTAATAACATTCTAATGGTCTATGTGCACAAATGACCCTCATTTTCGGAGCGTAAAATGTAAGGAGCTCATAAGCTAGTTTAGGGATCGTCATGCTAACATTCTTGTAACATGGCTATATTATATGGAAACATTTTTTTTTTAATGCAGCGGTAGCGATTCAATAGGACTCTCCCTGTGCAAAGGGAGAGTAGCGACCGAGCGAGAAGATTCACAATTCTTTAAAGAAAAAGTTTGCTGAGACGGGCTGTCCTGCCTCCTCAGAGGGTCGCTAAAAATTATCAAATCATAGATTTAAAATCTGCCAATCCCCTTTCAAAGAAGAAACAAAAAGAAGCGAATTTAGTCAGACTTTGCCTTGGCTGTATGATCAAAAGTACTCTTAAAAGCAAAGTTCCAAAGTACAAAACGTAAACCGTTGCCATATTCATGGTCTTAGGGCACAGTACAGTTACATGTTCACTTTGGTTAAGTATTGAAACAGGCCACGTCAACAATGACTGGGAAACTTTGTTCATAATAATAACTATTCCAGATGACGTTCATGTATTTCAAGAAAACTGGGGATTTCCACATGCGTAGGCGTTGTAGTCTACCTCACATGTTCTTTATGTGAGATCATTGGTCTATCAAGTTGTATTGGGTCTACTCCTGGCATAGTGTGCAAATACTAGAGACCTATTGTGGTTATTGAACACGCAGTTCTGCGGATAATGCGAGTTTGGTTTACTTGTGGCTATTGTGTGATATCACAAGTTTTAAGGTTTAAATCACAGACACTGAATATACACATTTTGCTCACAGTGTTGGACATATTCTAAAATAAATATATCAAATACTGAATATCATAAAAATGATTGGTGTATCGGGTTGATCAAATATATGAGTTTTGCTTTCATGTTTATTCCTCTGCGAGGTGCCCGCATACATAATTGCATGTCTGTTCGTGTGTAAATTACAAAATGTTTTTTTTAGCATATTACAAAAGTCATTTTTAAGGCTCGGTCACTTCGCCCGCTCGCAAATTTTAGAATCAAATATGCCCGTTCGTGTGCATATGGCAAATGACAAGTGCCAAAATGATGAAAATGGAATCTTTTGCAGTAAATAAGGAATGGAGTGACGTGAAGGTTTTGACTTTTTTTAAAGAGTGCAAGACTTTTTCAAATACCCACAAAGTGCCCCTTTTTACAAAGGAAAAGTGACTCATTTATTCCAGTTAATTGCACATTTTCTTTCTAATAGGTTGCCGTTTCACATTCTTACCAATGCCCCTTACCACCTCTGATAACCTCCCCGTTTACCTCTGATAATTGTTAGAGGTGCCCCTTTTACGATAACGATTGCCCCTTTATATCTTCCCTTTCCTCTGATGAGAGCTCCTTTTCACCTCTGATAAGTGTCCCCTTTTATTTTGAGACGTGCCCCTTTTCATTTGTAATAAGTGTCATTGTCCATTCATATTAATGCCCCTTTTTCTTCGTAATAATAGCCTTTTCCTACCCCCCCCCCCCCCCCCCAACTTGGCGAATTGTCGGCCGGCTGTTTTGCAGCCAAATATTTTCTCACGAATTGGGCCCCTCTCCTGCCGCCGCCTGGATCCGCGCCTGTTTCACTCTGTATCTCTGAATCTTCAGCCTCTTCAGCCTTTTCCGTGTCCATTATTTCAGCTAGGTAGAACTGATATCCGTCGATCAGTGCATTTACCTCCATGCCGAGATTCCTCGCGATGGGTCAGGTAAGAACAAGCACGTACACAGCAAACAACAGATGACAATTTGTATCGCGCCGCGCAACCAAATGAGCCGACTCGCTCTCTTTTATACAGTTTCCTTACAAGGGAGGTCCTTGGTGCTACCATGGAGTTGAACATGACCGATACTGATTAACCCCTACTCTGCCAAAGATAAACATTCGCGTATATTGTGATGGCCCAACACAACTTCGTCTGATACCCACAGAGTTAAGCTGTAAGCTATCAGTGGGCGTGTCTTGAGATTGGGCGTGTTTTTCATAAATGCACCGTGTGCAATCTGCCGGGTGCAAAAGAATTCATGAAGTACAAACAAATATCATTATTGCGAAATAGACAGCGAAAAATCCCCGTCGGAATTCCCCGACCCACTGAAAAGGTTAACAACATAGACCTTTTGTGTCAATGCTTTTCAGTTTCTTTCAAAACAAATCCTTCACCAATATCTGAAAAGAAAAAGCGCTGTCTGGTCATTCACCTACACTACAAATTCGAGTGCTAGGATTTGTTTTAATAAATTTGCAATAGTATTGAATATTACCGATTTCTTTATTGTTTTTTATGATGTTTCCTTTATATTCGATCTTCTAATAATTTCCAGTTTTATTTGTTGGTAGAAGCAGGCCCAGAAGTTCTTTGACTACATTCCACTTTTGTTTCAGGTCACTATTTGCAAAGTT